TATGTTCTTATTTTCTTTAAAGCTCGTTTGAAGGGCGCAATTTTTTTTTTTTTTTAATATTGGCAGTGGACAACATGTAAGACCAAGTACTCAGGATTGATGGGTTGGATACTTTGGGTCAGTATATGTTGGAGATTAGCATGTTATCATCGACTAGAATACCCAGAGATATTTCTCTCTTCGCCTTCTTTCTTTATTTCATTCTTCTTCTTCTTCTTCTCCCCACTTCTGTTGAGTCTTTTCCTGCAATTCTGTGTTTGATATTTGACAAGGAACTGCTAAAGTCTTAACAAATTCTTCTATCCCCATGAATTTATTTTGAATTAGCAATTAGTCGCTGTGCTGTCCTAAGTTTATTTGAGCGGTTCATTCTCAATTGCTGTAGTACTTAGCATGATGAAGTTAGTCTGACATGTTATGTTGTATTATTTGCCCCCTTCTTATACATAGTCGTTGACCAAAGAAGAAAAAGTGCTGCTTGTTTCTTTGTATGGTCTAGAGAACTAAATATCATAACTCTGACTATCTGATACGTTAATGCTTATTTCTAGATCCTGGCTATGCGTTACCCCAGACGGCTTGTTTTGTCAGGTTGCCTATCAGCTTTGATTGTAAGAATTTCTTTTCTCCCTATTTGGTTCACAGCTATCTTTCTGTTTTTGTTACAATTAATAGCTTATTACGTCAAATATGGTATTGTCTTCAAATCTAAACTTCTCAAGGAAATTTGAAACATTTAGGTCATGACCATTCTATCTGCTCTTGTCGGATGGGCTGCTCCAAATCTGGTAAGCATTCTTTGTTGCTTGTGAAACTTGACAATTCTTCTCATTGTTCTGTGTGTTGATTGATAGAATGAATATGCAAGTAGTTAACTCAGGTGTTTAGCTTGAATGCATTACAAAGTCTTCCAATCCACCGGATGAATAGACAAAAGAGGAGCAATCATCTAATATGTGTTGAGTCATTGAATTAAAATGTATTGTTTTGTTGAATTAGCAATCTGTTCTGGTCTGCTTCCCTCAAAGCTAGGTCTAACTTGGTGATTGAACTTTGATATTGATGGAGTGTCTGCTGCAAGACTGCTCAAATAATTATTAGTGAAGTTCCATTTTTAAGTGAACATGCATGGGAGGTGAAGTGTAATTATATATACGAAGATTATGTAGCAAGCTCTTGTTTAGGCATGCTGCATTTTTCTTTGGTTCTTGCACATATTGATTGTTATGTAATTCTGCAGATTTCTCGTAAATGGGCTCATCACATAACGACATTGCTGTTCTTTGGTTTTGGGCTATGGTCCTTGAAGGATGCAATATTTGAAGAAGGGTGATGATTATTATCTTGGACATTCAATTGCTGGTCCTTTTCTTTTGAAAGCAAGTTCTCATCTGCATTGATACTTTGTTTACTGATGCTGGATTATTTCACTGAACAGGGAGTCTGAAGAACTGGCTGAAGTTGAAGCGAAATTGGTCTGTCACATTTTTATTTGATTTCTTATTTTAACTCCAGTCTTTATTTACCTTTTGACATCATCCTTGTATTGTGATTAGGATGCGGATTACAAGGCTAATGGGGGGTCCACAAAAGATAGCAGTAAGGTATGGCAATAATAATCATCCTGAAGTTTTGCTTTTTCCCCCCTCTGCCCTATTAAGGCATACCTATTGGTCGTGCTAACAAATACCCATGTAACCAACACGGGCACACATATTGGACACAACATGATATGATACATAAGATATGACAGTTTCTAAAATTTTAGAATATAGGGACAGGGGGTATATATACATGTATATAATTATTTGTGTAACCAATATAACATCTCATTAAAAGGAAAAATCGGTATTAAATATTCTAAACATTGTAGTATACATGTTAAAACAAACCACATGCATGAATAAATTTTCTATAACATCTTATAAATAAACCACAGTTTGTTTTTCCATCGTAACATAAAAACATGATTGGACAAAATCATTGTATGAGCCCCTTACAAAGGTGAGCTTTGCCTTACCTTCATAAGGGTCCTATTTTACTCTTAAATTTTGGAGCATTGTTGATGGATGTAAAGCAGTATTAGTATCTATAAGTATCTATATGTGCATGACTAGTTTTTTAAAGTATTGAATGCTAGACAAGTACGTGGTCTAAATTTTTGATTGTTTGCTGGATTCATTAGGTTATTATCATGTGTCATCTCACGTCATGTAGGTAAAATATGTAGTTATGAACTTATGGGTAACAGAGGTGGGAGGCCTTGATCCTTTACAATCAACAATGAATATTGCTCAAAGCTTTATAGGAAAAGCTTTAATACCAATTTGTCGATGATGAAATCTCCTTACTGTAATTGAGGGGATTTCCATCAAGACTGGAGTTTTATGGAGTAGATATTATTTTGGTTAAGTGCAGAAATGCATAGCCATGCTCCTCTTATGCATTATGACACAATCCATGCCAAACTGTTGTGTAGATATCTTTGAATTGGAACAAAGAGTTTTCTAGTTGGTATTTCAAGAATCATTTGCTTTTAGAACTGATTTGTCAGATAATGTATTCGGTGTTCTAGATAATGCTCACTTTATGTTCCCCACTTCTCATTTCCAGGTTAATGATGACTTGAAAAAGCATAAACGGCCCCTTTTCACTCAGTTTTTCTCCCCCATATTTTTAAAGGTAGTAATTGCATTTCCTCTAAAGATTATTTTTCTAATTGCCCACCTTTCCAGATGATTCACATTATCATGTCCATAATGCAGGCATTTTCTATCAACTTTTTCGGTGAGTGGGGTGACAAGAGCCAGGTTAGTATTTTTTCGCATATATTTGTTTTTTCCATGACTAGAGACTTTGGTTCCGCACTTAACATCAGTTCATTCTGTTTCAGCTGGCTACCATTGGTTTGGCCGCTGAAGAGAATCCATTTGGTGTGGTTCTTGGTGGCATTGTGTAAGCTTTTACTATACTATCTTCGAGAATTATAGTCATTCTAATATACCTGCATGCATATGCATATATATGTATATGTATATCAGGAATTTTTTGGGCCAATGTTCGTATGTTAATTCAGTGGTTTCTTTCCTGAACTTCTGCATACACACTAGCATATGTGCATACTTGCACATGCAATGTTCTTGCCTGGAACCATACACGTGGCTGCAGGATGTTTCACATGCCTAAAATCCAGCAACTACTTGGGAGAGAACCTTAATTTTCTAGTTTTTCTTTTTTCAGTGGACAGGCGTTTTGCACTGCTGCTGCTGTTGTTGGAGGAAAGAGTTTGGCATCTCAAATATCTGAAAAAATGGTAATGCATTTTATTTTATTGTTCCTTGTCTCCCGCTTTTACCTATGCATGATATGTTGCCCACATGCCATGTTCCCCCCCTTTATGGTTGGTATCTCTTTTCTTTGGGGAAGCTCATGGATTAAGTTTACATTATAACTTCTCCAAAATGGGTCAATATAAGTTTTAGACTACCAACAAACCAACGAGAAAAGTAAGAATTGTGGATTGAGTAAGATCTATTTACCTTCTAAGAGATTATGAGTGTATCTAAACGGCGAGTTGGTGGAATGAGTTTTATTTTCTGTATTTATGCCTTTATATTATTATGTATGACTGGTATAGTAGTAACATTATACTTTATGCCTCGCAGATTGCACTCTCAGGTGGAATTCTTTTCATTGTATTCGGTATCCAGTCATTCCTCACTCCAATTGAATGATGAAGACGGCTGTGCTATTGGTCGGTTTATCACACACACTGTATGTGGCAATGAGGTTGGCTGCCTGAAGAATTCAACTTGTTGCCTTAGGTATTGTGGGGGTAAAGGTTGTTTTTTGACCCTTCCATATAATTTATGGGTTAAAATCAAATAAGCATGGCTGGACAGGCTCTGAATTCATTGTTCTAAGTTTAGATAAGTGGATTATTTTTCTTTTTAATTGTAGAACTACTTTTCATTTTTGTCTTCCTCCCTCCATCGCGAGGAATCAAAGGACCAAATTAGAAGGATAAAAGGATTAACTTTAACTACCTAGAATATTAAATACATGAGCACCCGTCTTTCCCTTTTTTTTTTTTTGGTGGGGCAGACCCAAATAAACTACAAGAAAACTGAAGGCCATCCACTTGAGTAGGATTATAATTGGCCAACCAATCCGCACTAATGTTTGCTTTCAGTTTGAAGCCCACAAAAGTCAGGCTCAACAAGTCTCCCTTTGATTTTCTTATCTCTCTATTACTCTGGTCTCTCTCTAACTCTGCACCCTCTCTTTCGTCGTTCCAAACGAAACTTGGACGGCTATCCTACCTGTGACTCCGAATTCCAAGTTTACGGAAATTCATATTTTCAGATTCATATCTTAAAACTTTGCCAAAAATTACCATATATGTATGTGTCTGTGTACCTTTTTTTTTTTCTTTGGCTAAAGCATAGGTATCCTCCTATTGGAGGCAATCGTATTCGAAGTACTGTCAGGCACTAAACGTGGGTACCTCTCCGAGTGGGGATTCAAATTTTGGTTCGTCACGTTGTGAGAGACTAGTCCCTTCTGCTAAATTCAATCCCGTTGGTCTGTGTACATATATTTGTATATATGCATATGCGCACCTCCCTCATCCCCCGTCCTTCTAATTCTATAATCATCCCAAGCCCTAGAAAATAGAATTCTTATAACTTGGTGGCTTATTACGTATAATTTGTAAGAAATTACATTTGATCCTTTTACGAAAAATGCATCAGTTTATAATAATAATTCTTGTCAATGAGAATAATAATTAGTCTATTTTTATGGATAGTATCCGTATTAGTTACGATATTTTATTAAATAATCTTACTGCATGTAGAATTGTTTCAAAAAACTCATGATAAAATAGTTAAACTAATTTAAACAAATTTAGAAGTTCTCTGTGTCCATGTTTCTGGAATGCTATTCAATATATACAATGCAAATAAAAGAAACAAAAGTTATGTAATTAAAACGAGTAATGAAAATTAAACTCACAAGATAATTATGCACAACTATTATACGAGTTACTAGACGCAGGTACAAAAGAAATACACGAACTCGTTTTCTACTGACAACACAACGGCACATTCGTACAACTGGCATTACCCAAACAAGTCCTATTCACAGAAACTAAAGACAAAGCAGAGACTCATTGTGGTCACCTACGTTAACAACACCAAGTAACCACATTTCTGATACGGAAGTTGTGAAATTTTTTATTGAAAGACACAACCATCCCTTATAATTCACAGGATGACCATACCTTTTCTCCTTTTCTTTGTTCTTGTAACGTTCATGAGGACAAATTTATGTACACAGACTAAAATCTGGAAATTTTGCTTTTCAACAACATAGAACATAATCAGATTTACAAAGAGGCCAATGATTAGCACCCACCACTTGCAGGTTCAATTGAACTCAGCAGGCCATTGCCTCTTAGCTGCATGCAGTGTTCTTCAGCATCAGCTTGGGCACAGATAATGACCACTGACAATCCATTGTAGTGAGCATCTAGCATGATGTCATATGCATTATCAAGGGTCATGCCAGGAATGACCTTCATCAATACTTGTACAACGTATTCCCTTCTGTTGAAGTCATCATTGTGCAATATTACTCGATATGGCGGCGCTAATTTCCGTGATTTCCTGCATGTCTTGGGAAACCAGAATTAAATATTTTCTTTCACTCTCACAAATTTTTTATACATGAAGTACAAATATAGGACCTTAATAACAAAATTATTAATGATAGTTAACAACCTTCATCTTTTCAAGAATCATACTCCTTTTCCAAACCTCCCCTATTCAATTTTATTGGCAGAAGTAACATAATAGATCTAGTCTATTTACTCACCCAGCTTTACATAAATTGAACAAGGATATATTTGGTAATGGCTAATAAACACTGCAGCGTACTTCGTAAAGCGTTGGCCAAAAGAAAAGCTGAAAAAGAGTAGACTTGGGACCAAAGGGAGTAACACTCCCTCCGGATTTTTTTTTTTTTTGGGTAATCAAATGAAAGTATTTCTTTGGACTTGAATATAAGAAACAACTACCTATTATTCCTTATATTAATTGAAAATTTCCTGTATCACCCTCATCAATTAAGTCAACATCGTTATATAACCATTATATGAAGCAACTGATAAGGGCATTTTGGGAAAAAAGGAAGATCATAAACATATTTATTGCTTTTCACTGTATTCTTTGGTTTGTGCAACTTGATTACTAGTATCTAGAGGAGTGATAGATAAATATGCAAAGTTAATATGCTAAAAGCTAACCACTAGCACAATCAAACAAAATAACAGCTGACCCCCGAGCATAGAACCAAGAGAGAAAACTCTAAAACTTAACTCAGTAATCTGATTTATGAATTCAAGTGTCAACAAAGAGAAAACGCATGAAACCAAAGCAATATTATAAATATGCAGGCTGCAGAAGTCTAACATGAGTAGAACTCATCAGAACAAGAAAAAAATGACCAAACAACCCAAAATAAAAATATTGATTAGAAAACCCTCTAGATTAAAAAAAAAAAAAAAAACAAACAAACAATAACTAACTACAGAACGATCTGCATAATTCACTATAGGATCCCTCTAGACTGTTATATTAGGAAGGTTAGGCAAAAACAGCTATTCAATTTTTCCAAGCGACACTCCTAATAGTGTTTAAAATTAAAGGGGCTAAAGAAGCAAGTGATACGCATTACACGATATAAAATAATACATATTTGGCATGATTTAATCAAATAATATCTCCATTCTTCCACAAGACAGTTTTACCAGCATCTAGACTAGCTTTTATAGCAAACGATTGCATACCTTAAATTCCTGTTCCTATTAAAAGTGACAATATTGGAAGAACTCACAACAGCTTCCTGTTATTAAACCATGGCACTTCCTATATATCTTCCTTTCATCCAATGGTTTTAGATTGCAAACGCAATCCCCTAACACTTGTAATTAATACAGTCAAGTTGTAAAACCAAGTCAGCCCAATCAAAGAATTTTAATGTGAAGCTTTCCACATCAAAATTGCTCTATACCTCAGGTCAAATTCAGATTCACGGCCAGGAGTTCCTTTTTCAATAACTGGCTTCTCCAGCAGTCCTCCTCCTCTGCCTGGTCCTGTTGCTAATACAGCCATGGGAATGCAAAGATTGGAGCATGGTCCTCTGCAAGAAGAATATTTGTCCCCTGTATTGTGAATTTTTCTTCAGTAAGTGTTCTTGGAGCACTCAATCATACACAGAAGAGTTCAAGATTTTATGTTTACCAAAAGAGAGGGTCAGCATACTAGTATTACACAAATATAAGCAAATTAAGTATGACTCTTGATGCATCTCCCCTCTAACACAAATGAGAGATGCTTGTCACTTATCTGCTACTTTTATCCATGTTTTGTTACTTAATTGCCGCTAGAATCATGCTTTAATTTTCCAAACACCAATTCTCTTGCTGATTCTTTTAGTAGAAAAATTCGCAAACAGAAACAGAAATCTCCAGAAAGAAAATCTACCTCTGCCCAAGTCCTAAAGTTGAAGTGGTTTCTTAGCATTTATTCCCAGAAAAATAATCCATTGATTTGACAACCGCATGAAATGATCAGACACTCGATCTCATATTCTCATTGTAGAAGCTAACACAGATTTTCGATTCTTGATGGAATAGCTTTAGTGGCCTGTTTGGTATGGCGAGATAAACAGAATACCTTTCTAGCGCAAAAAACGAGAATGTTTATTATGTCATTATTATGCTAACCAATGTTTTGATTCTTTCTGATCACTTTTCCACAATAGAAGCACGCATATTATCTACACGGCATGAAAACATATTCTTTTTAAGTTTTATTTCTTTACGTTCCGAGTACGGGATGAGCAGTTGTTCCTGACTCATTTCTAGTTCAGTAAGGAATTTGACATCTGCGTATAAGTATAGATTTTTATGTAATCATAATTCTGGAAAAGGGAGGAAAATATGGAAATTGGAGAAACAAGAAAAAATCAGTGAAAGTTGTCAATCCAATTTTCTGAGATTCTGCATATGTTGCTCTATCTTCAGAGCTTATAGATTAAATTAAAACAATGGAGAGCCACTCGTATTGATGAATTGAAGCTTCCGAAGTGCTCCTGTTGGATTGCAACTTAATACTCGGTAGCCAATTAAAAAACAAACAAACAAACTTCCCAGCGAAAACGTTCCAGAAGAGAAAAATAAAAATCACGTATGGGGATAAATAAGATCAGCAGGAGTAATTAATGAAAACGCCAGAAAATTTGCAGGAATCGTGATAGAGAAGCTCGAAATGAAAGAGTAACAGAATAGAGTAGAAGTCAAAATATTCGGAGAAGAAAGGCAAAAATGGGAGCGAGAAGAGAAATGAAGAAAGTACCAGGCTTAGAATTGAAGACGTGGTTGGGAGAGAGAGCAAATCTCCCACACATCGCACTCTCCATCTCCCTCCCCCTATCTCTCTATCTCTTCTATGCCTCTGGTGGAGATTTTTGGTTTTCAGTTCACCTGCGTATAAAGAGAGGAAGGGGGCAAAACAAAAAAAGAAACCTGACACGTGCCTCCTAATCTCTCTTTTTCCCCTCCATTTTTTTGAGTGAAATGTGTCCTAGACTGTGTTTGTTGATCCTTCCTTCCAATGGGGTTGTAACTTATAAGGTGAATTTGAAATAGCTCATAACTAATTTTTTATTCATGATTTACAGAATATGATAAGTACATAAAAAGAGCTTTGTGTGTTGACTTATATAAAAGGCGTTTATAAATAATTTGAAACATTATCTCAATAAGTCCCAAAATTTAATGAGTCAATTGGTGGTAGTAAACTAACAATAAAATTGAATAAAATGGATGTAGAATCTCTGTAATTTTACCAATAAATGATGGGTTAAGTGACAAAATAAGATGTAATACACTTTAAAGAATTATCTTAAATCTTTTTTTAGTAGTATAAGATGCTTAAATATCCTGACTGATCAAACAATATAATTTAACAATCAAATTTAATGGCAAAAAATATAATATTTTTACTATGAGAACAAACTTAAATTACATCTTTAATTTTCGGATGAGAAATGAAGAAAAAAACCATCTACAGGAAAGGCCAAATACCGGATGTGGATGATTTACTGCGGGGGAAAAATCTCTAATCTTAGTACTATTAAAAAGGTGTATTTTGTTCAATAACTTTGTGCAAAAAAAAAAAAAAAAAGAAGAATCGTAATTCAACGATTTGAACTTTTCAGATTTTTTTTATTACTGGCACAAAATGGCACTATCTTTTGGATAGTCGTTTTCTTCTGATTTCATAATATTATGTATCATTACACTTAATTATTAATAATTATAATTATAGATTCCCTTAATATTTGCTGCAATGATAAATTTTTAATTGACTGTTTTAAATTCAACGTGTAATTATAAATAAATATTAACTTGCTCAATTTTAAATATTAAGCTATGAAATTTAACAGTGCCCTTTTTTCACACATCGGTTCCAGCAAATGCTAAACCAGCTTTAACCACCTCTCCCATGCAAGGAGATTGCTTTGCCAGGCACCAAATGCCTTGAATAATTTCTTTACCGATTTAGTTTCAAAAACATATTTATCACCCAAATACGCGCATATAAACATGGGGAAGGGTGACATGCCACAGCATCTAGCTAGCAAACTTCCATTTAGTTATTAACATTCTAACGGTAGTGTTTCCTGCATAAATCTTCATGGTTCATCGGCAAAAGACATCATCCCAAGACTATACCATTGCAATCTGAAATTGAACCTAACACTATCAATGCCAAGGGCCCAATGCTTCAAATAACATTAAGCTAAAGACTCGTAGATCGTTACTCTAATAGATTATTGGGGAACTAAATGCAAAACTAAGCTAACTCATGAATCCACCTCCACCCATGTTGGGTGCACCTTGCGATGATACCTGTCCCTGAGACACCAGTTGTGACCGTCCTGAACCTTGAACGTACGCCGCTTGACTCATTCCTGCACCAACCAATTGCTGTTGCTGAGGAATCTGCTGCTGATGTTGCAATTGCTGAAGCTGAGGAAGCTGCTGCTGCTGCTGCAGCTGCGGGAGTGCTGCTGCTGCTGCTGAAGCTGCGGGAGTTGCTGCTGCTGCAGCTGGGAGAGTTGTTGCTGCTGCACCGGAGGAAGTTGCTGCTGCTGTGGTTGTTGCAGCTGAGGAAGTTGCTGTTGCTGCATGTGGGCAACCTGCTGTGGCTGCTGTTGTTGCATCTGTGTAAGATGCTGCTGCTGCTGCATCTGCTGGTGTTGCTGCTGCTGCTGCTGTTGCTGTTGCATTTGTTGCTGCTGCTGACTGGATAATTGTGGCTTAAATACCACCATGTCCTGTTTGTATAACAATTTTCAGAGAAATATTGGAAGCATGCATAAACAGATATCATTATGGTTTGGAACTTCAAAAAATTGGGTTTGTTGAGGAGATTTAGAGTAGAATAGTTTCAGGTTGACTTTAACCTCCAAGGGAAGGTAGAAGTTTAGGTTGCACAAGTACAGTTACAAGTATCCTACCCTTGCGTGAATGGGGATTTAACAATTCTCTTTCAAAATATAAGGTGCAAGTATAGTAATAGTCCCTCCAATTGAAAATATGAACATCAAATAACTAATTCATGCAATGAAAAAAGTTAGTTAAAATTGGTTAAAGACAATAAATATGTAAAACAATGCAATTTACTTTCCTAAAACACCCTCATTTATGAAGAGGGTAAGTGGAAGAGAGAATGAGTGGGAAAAGAGAGAATGAATGAAAAAAGAGATGAAAGAGACAAATAATTAATTAGGGGTACAAATGGAAAAAATGCATTAAATGATTAGACAAATTCAAGGTGATGCTCATTATTTAAAAAAAAAAAAAAAAATTAAGCCCCTCCAAAGATTTGATGCTTATATTTTGAACCAGAGGGAGTATTGCATAAATAAAGAATAATATACATAATACAACATGCCCACTACAATTAAAAATAGATAATGACCGTTCTGCATATATAATCAAACCAAAGCTCAATTGCCTGTTGATAGCGTCATGATTGTGTTGGCGTGAGAAACACGTTAGTCACATTAAATGTGTGAAAATAGGCGTGTCTAAGCCGTATAGTTTATTCATCCCCTGGGAAAGAGAAGAGTAGCCCAACTTCTAGACTTATTACAGCGTAAATAGCATTAAATGGAAGAGTCAACAACTAATTGAGGTGTACTTAGCTTGAACTCTCACAACAGTATAATAAACAGAATGTTGCATGCACCTTGAAGTTGGCATACTTCAAAGAAACTCAAACGCTTTTCACGTGTGAGCAAATTGATTGTGAAAGTAAGTGTGGATTTCATTTATCCCGGTTCCCACAAAAGGGAAGAAAATTTAATGCTCAAGAGGCTTGAGTTCAGAATTTCTCACCCCAGGAAAAAGCATCCCAATCAAGCGGCAGGCTTTATCAGAGACAGATAGTAGCAACGTCTGTGATGGTAATTGGATTACTGCACACTGTAATGGAAGAAGAAACATTCAGCACCAGACTAGGCTTACCAAACCAAGAAATATAACGGTTCAGCCATAAGGGCCATAATTTCAAGCACAAAAATAGTTCAAATTAAGCTGATGTTGATATTGTCACCTCTTATTTTTGTAGGATTGAGTTGGAGCACAGGTAAAATTATAGAGGATTGGAGAGCACTATTGAGCCTTCTCTCTTTCCCTTTGCTTCCTACGGTCGTTTTTACATCCTTTAATTGACCTAGGAGATTTTATTTTATGCCCCCTTTTTGTCCTGCTCTTCTTTTTCTTGTCAATTCTTCTTTACTTGCTCAAAAGAGAAACACAGGAAATGCTGCCCGTTTGTTTTGCACGAGTCTCATAAGCATACTGTGCCTATATTCTCCTAATTCAAGTTTACCATAATTATCTCCTATGCATGCAAACAAACAAAGAATACCCGCGAAACAAGTTCACAGCATATGCAGGCAGCAGGCACAAAATACACAACTGTTACAATCCTTCAATGGAACAGGTAAATTGTCCATTCTGATTCCGTGCCTTAAAAGTGGAGTTAGAAATAACAGAGGATAATTATACAAGTGTGATTTACAAATTTTGAGTGACTGGTTATATCTGGTAACAAAACCTCCTAGTTACTTGCTTATACAAATTTGGAACACATCGAATTGAAGACACCAACACATACTAGGACATCTTAGATATAAATTGAAACTTTTAAACACTTCGAAGATAACCTCATGCATACAGTCCTAGTTCCATGCGATTTAATCTTATATTTTCAGTGATGTGATTTTTTTTAATCTTCCAATTTAATTAATTGGAAATCCACACATTGCAAAAGCCACATTTTATCTTCTTTCTAGAACAAGGCTCGGTTATCAAGAAGCAACAATACTTTATTGACTAATAAGATTGTTATGTTATAGATTAGCAGAAGAAACTAAAGAAAAGGAAGAAATTAAGATGCACTGATAACTTACCAGCTTCTTTTCCTGAAGCTGAGCAAGAAATCCATGTGGGTTCATAGCCCGAAAAACTAGGAAATCTGCCTTTCCAACGTATTGCCTTGTGTCAAAGCATTGTCAAGTCAGAATATATACAGAATAATGCCTGGACCAATATAAAGCTACACACACTAAATAAGCAAGACCAAAGCTAAGCACAAAAAAAGAAGTTACTTGTTATTCATGTGATCTTGAGATATAAGACGAACTATTTGCATTGTTGGTGGCCAGTTCGATGCAAGCCTGGGACCCATAAAAAGCAGTCATTAGATTTTTTTAATTACTGCCAAGTTAGGCCAATATAGGTGACAATCTAAAGCCACTGATAGTGATTTAGACCAGGTAGACATTTAGGAAAATCCCACACTGCTTCAGCCATATTGGTATAATTTTGGAGCACATGATGTGTCATGATAAGTTGAATTTTTCATACCAGTCTTAAGGTAATTTATTATGAAGAAATGGGAGAAATTTCAACCTAAATAGTTATGATCACTTCCATATGCGCATAATACAAAATACTCATGCACACTTTGCTCCGTTAAAAGCATGTCCTGCCCATGTGAAAAATTATAGAACTTATAAAGGAAACCTTGAAATCGATTTCATAAATCACTAGAATTAAAACTCAAAGGGAGGTTGGAAGTTTGATCCTTGCTGTTCCAAGTATCCAAATTAAAGAATCTAGGAACTTATTGATTTCATAAATCAGTAGAATAAAAACTCAAAAGTGAGCTTCTCAAGATGCTTATTAATAATTGTTACCCAGTATTGAAAGTATGGTTCCGTGAATATAATCATCTAATGACTCAAAACTTCTGAAAAACCAATTAAGCCATCAAGGAAAGAGAAGTCAGTAATTTCTTTAATAAAGAGGCAGCTCAACAAACCAATGAGAAAAGAATATTGAGCCGACAGTTTTAGAAAGTCTAACCACTGACAATGATCCCTAGACTTCTACGAAGAAAGAATATGAGTTCCTGAACTTACGACTCAGAAGCTGAATAACTCCGATACCCCTGCCATGAAGAAAGTACTCATCAAATTAACACATGCCACAAACTTGGAGGAATTGCTGCTATTATGAAAGAGACTGAAAATGCACAAAATTAATGCAATGGTCAAGTAAGAAGAAGTAAGCCAGATAGTTTTTATCAAGCTTTGAGATGATACCTCTAGTCTGGTGATAAATACAGGCTGTCCTTGTCTTTGCCCAGATAAACTTCCCTGCATGAATAGCAACAATTAAAGATATAAAACTGATGCAAAAGCATGCGAGAATAACAATAAGGAATTTTCATGACCCGTGCTTTGTAGCAATTCCTACTTATCATTTGATGATCTACAGTTATTAATGGTTACAGCCACCGGACAACATAGAATTGATTTATAGAATTTTAGAAAACAAAGAGATAACTTCAATGAGATTAAAGCAGAATTGTAAGGATCTATTAGATTTAATGAACGCCAAATAGTATAAACAACTACAGCAGTAAGCATTTTGAGCAAATTCTTTCCTCGCCTCTTGCTTCTATCAGTGATATTATCCATTTCATAATGTCAAATATCCAGAATTTTTCAGAGATATCAGAGATTAAGGTAGTACGGGCTATGATCATTGCATCATGCGTGATAAATAAAAATTGAAAATTGTAGCAAAGCAAAAACGATATAATGCAACCTACAATACAAACATTTATGGTATGTAATTACTAAATAGTGATAATGAGAATCTAAAATCAATGTGGGCAAGAGTAAGGAGGACACAGCAGAGGATTTAGAAAGATAGAGATATAAGCTGCACTTGTCAAAAATATTCTCCTCAAGTTAAAGATACTAACAGGAAAACAAAGACATGATCCAACAAAATCTAATTGAAGAAACTATGGTCTCCCTTAGTGAACCATAACAGAAAAGGCAACCATTGCAATTAAAATGAAAACCACAGTTTGCAATAACAGTCTCGATTTGTCGGCCAAAAAAAAAAACAGTTAATTTGTCTAAGATAAACACTTCGTTTCATGTCAAATAACAGTTTAGAATTAGATGCCCGAAAATTGATTAGCAGTAATACTTCAAAAACATACTCCAATCACGCTAAACTCAAGAATAAGCCTTACAAGGGATAAGTGGCATAAATTATTCTTATCAAATCTAAAGAAACTGATGACAAATGCATGATGGTCAACTGATGCTGGACAAAATTCATTATAGAGAAGATGTTAGGATTTCACATTCCATGCCAATTATTTTAAAATTTTCTCAAGGAAAAAAGAAAATGCATGAAAGCCAAAGCTTGAGAGGCAGATTTACAGGGGTTAAAAAGGGATCAGGACAAACCTCCCAAACCTTCACATATTTTGATTGTGTAGATTGCATAGCACCTGAGGTCTGTTGTTGTAAAGGCATATTAGCTGCTGCATTATTCACACCAAGTGGTTGCATTCCCTGTTGTACTTGCTGAGACATTCCGGGAGTAGGAATCATTGTACCAGTCCCAGAAGAGACAACTGATGGACCAAGGCTACTCATCACATTTTGGTTCATGTTAACTCCACTTTGCACCATTTGGGCGCCGCCAATGTTTCCTTGGCTCATGGCTAACCCTGGCTGACCCATACTAACAGTACCTTGCAGATTTCCCAGTGGTTGTGAAATCCCAATATTTGAACTTCCAGACAAATTTGACGTGGCTGAAGTTAATGAACCAAGACCTGAGTTTGCTCCAACCTGCATGGAACCAGTGAGAGATCCAGAACTAGTTATTGAATTTATGCCTGACTGTCCTGATGAAAATACATTTTGAACAGCAGGTACAGAAGATGCCATTCCGCTGGATATCATGTTCGACATGTGCATAGCCACAGGAGTTTGACCCATTGACTGAAGTCCCATTGAGGTTCCTCCACTTAGCACCTGTCGTGCTTGAGAAAGATTGTTAAGAATGTTGACATTTGCTTGAGCAGGACCCACTGGGCGCAAGGGCTGTGACACTGACATCATGGGCTTTACATCCTGTGTATTTTCATTACTTGCCATAATATCTTGAGAAGCAGAAGACGGAGACGAAGTCTGCAAGCTTGGGACACCTTGACTAGGAGCACGTGGAACTGATGGCATATGAGGAAAAGTAGGTCCTGTAACCATGGAAGTAACAGGAACGGGCTCCTGAAGAGATATGATAAATCCGGGATCATTATGGGGGTAAAACAAATCAGTGCCAAATTTTAATAATATTTTCATACAAATTGAGGATCTTACCACTTTTATAGTAGCAGTGCCAATATTGCCCACAGAAATTGGTTGCCGGTTTGTGATAGATCCATTAACTAAAAATCCATAGAAAAAGCAGCAATATTAATGGAGCTTATAACAATTTTTAACCAACAGATAAAAGAAGAAATATGGTAAAATCAGAATTATTAGAATTTAAAAGAATTAATTGTATAGAGCTGTACATATCCAGCTCTGTATTATTTTTTATTTTCCTCAATCAGGTTTTCCCTTTTTATATTATGGGGGTTCCTCAATATATATTGTGAGATCAATAAAAATTATCTTCAGTGCAATGACTCATATGGCATTAGAGCATGAGACAAAAACCGAAGACGGTGATCCTTAAACAGGCATGGAGTTGAACTCCGGTGAGGAAGTTGCACACTTTAAAATGACTTCGGGCCTTGATGGCTCCTCCATGTCCAACTGGTGCCAAATTGGGGGTTCCATCATGGTGACTTCTATTCTTGAAGGGCCAGTGGTTCTGATCATACCACAGAAGCTAAACAACGAAAATTAGTTTGAGAGGGCCCAGGCAATAGAATTTGCAGTTGAAGATTGTGGAAAGGCTGGATATATCACTAGTGAAACACCCTTATCAGGGCATCGAAGATTCAGGCCATGCAATGCTGTCTTGGTTGGTGAATGTTATTATCCCAATGATAAAGAAGAGTCTTGGTTGGTGAATGTTATTATCCCAAGGATAAAGAAGAGCTTCATGTTTCTCCCAACTACAAATGAAATCTAGGATGTTGTTTGAGACTCCTATATTCAAGTCCTTTATATAGATAATGGCACAAAGTACTTTAACACCACCCTAGGAGAGTACCTAAACAAACAAGGAATTCTACATTAAAGTGCACATGCTTATAGCCCTCAACAAAATGTGTTAGGTACGAGAAGCAAACCCCAAAGTGGAGGGAGAGAACAAATGGGTGATGAGGAGGAGAGAATGCCACACCTTGATTTAAAACCTTAAAGCTCAAGTTTGTGGGTCCCTATGCTATATTATATACTACCTCTGGTCTTAAATATAAGATTTACTTTGTAGAACAATTTGCACCACAAACTAAATCTTATATTTAGGACTAGGGGTAGTATTAATTAGTTCCCAACTTTATCAGATGTAAGACTTCCTACATCAACTCAAGTCACCCAAACTGAAACATCCTAATAATCTCCCCTTCAAATGTGAGTCCATTAGCTCCCTATATTGAAGATGCCACAAACATCAAGTTCTTGATAAAGACAAGCTAGAGCCAAACCAATTTATACAAGTCCAAGACAAAGCCTAGCTTTGATACCAGTTGTTAGGAAAGAGGAGTGAAACCTAAAAACCGGGGGAGAGAACAAATGAGCAATAAGGAGTGGAGGACACCACATCTTAACTCAAAACATCAAGCTCAAGTTTATAGGTCCTTACACTAAATTATATATTACTTATCAAGCCCAACTATATCCCATGTCAGGCTTCTCGTATCAACACAAGTCCACTCACACTTACACATCTTAACAATAAAATGGAATTGCTGGGAGAAAGAATAGGCATGAATGGATAAGCTTGTCCTTCCAGACCCCTCTTGAAGTTCTTGTCATCCTAACTATTACCTATATTAGACATCGGATGCCAGCAAAATCTTGTCCTTCAACACCCCTCTTGAAGTTCGTCATACCAATTATCCCATATCTCACCTTGAGAATAAGCTTCCTTTGAAAGTTTTTGGGTGAATGGAAAACTTAATCCTAGAGTGGTCAAATGTGTTTCTTGGTTATTCTACATCTCAAAAAGGTTAGTAGTGTTATGACCCCATTAAAAAGAGAATTTTTGTTGGTTGTGATGCCACCTTTAATGAAGAACATCCTTTTTACTCTTACTCTTCAATTCAGGGGAGATTTGGAGAGAATTTCATGCCATGGAAAAAAGAGAGTTACCTAGTTCCTTGCTACCCTTAAGCGCTAAGTCTGAGAGTAGTACCAATATTGAGAGTAAGACCATGGTAGAAAATATTCCAATGCTAGAAACTGAACTGAATCCTAACAGAAGGGGAGACAAAAATGCAACCAACACAACTGGAAAGGATTTGATTATCCACACATGGATGAAGAAAACAAGTAATAAGTCAAAGGTACACAACTTGAGTCAGATCCAATGGCATATCCTGACCCGGAAAGGGAAGATAATTTTGTTGATACTGATTCTGTTGTGTAATGATAATATGGTAAATGGCAAAGTAAGGATTCTAAGCATTAGTTAGGAAACAGCTGTTAGAACCATTGACAACTGTATATAGATCTATCTACCTACTTGTATTTTAGATTATGCAAGAATAATACAACTGCATTATTTAGTCTCTAATTCCTTTGTCCCCTTTTCAAATCCTTCCATTCTTTTCTCTGCTCTCCCTTCAAGTACCCTCTCTCTTTTTCTTTCCTGTCCAAATTACAAACCTGCATCAGATTCAAAGACAGAACAAGGTAATCTTGATGATTCCAAACCCGTAAGTGAAGTCCATGATCAGTCTTCCTCGTTCCCATTGCTCTTAGAAAGATGCCCTAATCATGAACTTTACATCCTATAGAGAAATCTGTATCTTTCAAAGCCCTTTCACCTTAGCATTGTGCTTTCATTATTGATCTTAATAGGATAAAGATGCCTAACGACATTGAGTAGGCTTTTAGAATTCCTTAGGGGACAAAAGCTGTTTGAGAATAGAAGCAAGCCCAAGAAAAGAATGGCCCGAAGGAAAGACTACAGAGATACAAGGCAAGACTGGTACCACACAAACAAGCTCCCTATACTAAAGACACCATAAACACCAAGTCCTTGCTTAAATTAAGGCTTCCCACATCGTTTTTACACAAGTCCCTACCATAACCAAGGCTTTAATAGCAATAAGAAGACAAAGCATACAAGTGGGCTTGACAATATATTTTAACCCAAAACCTCAAGACTCAAGTTTATGAGTCCTTCCACTTTTATACATTTCTCTTATTAAGCCCAATTCTATTTGACATGGGACTTCTGACATCAAGTTGAATTTGTTCACACTGACATTTCCTAACATATCACATTGTCCTTGGCAGCCAATCTAGATTGGCTTCTTCACTAGCTTAATGTTAAAAATGCCTTCCTAAATTGTGATTAAAAAGAAAAAAGCATCCATGACATTTCCTCCTAGTTTTGACAATGGGAGAAGTAACTAGGTCTCCAGGCTGAAGAAATCCCTTCATGGGCTCAAGTAGTCTCCTAATGCATAGTTTGAGAGATTCGCTAATATTCTAAAACAAAAGGGTATACTTAAGGGGAAATAGATCATACAATATTCTTCAAGCATTAGGAAGGTAAGACTATCCTAATTGTCTGTGCGGATGACACTAAAGTGCCTCAATCCAAGAGGAAAATCTAAACATCTTAAAGGCAGCAAGTATTAGATCTACTAGAAGAAACGCGTATGCTTGGTTGCAAGGCTAGTGATATTCCAATTGGGATTACCAAAGAACAAAATGATGGGAAACTTGTTAAAGAAAAAAGATAGCAAAATCTTGTTGGAAAATTGATATACTCTCCCATACAAGACCATATATTGCCGTTGTAATTAGTGATGTGAGCTAGCACTCACATTGTCCAAACCAAAAACACTTAGAGGTGGTATAAAAGATTTTGAAATACCTAGAAAGAGCTCCAGGTAGAGGCTTGTGGTTTAAAAAATTGAACTAGACTTGTAAAGATGTCTACATTAATCCTGACTGGGAAGATTCACTTGAGGATAGAAGATCAACATCGGGGTATTGCACATTTATATGGGACAACCTAGTTACATGAATAAGTAAGAAGCAGAGTCTTGTGGCCCAAAGTAGTGCTGAAGCAGAATTTCATTCTACTGGTCATGGGATCTATGAAAGGTTGTGAATTAAGAGAGTGCTAGAAGAGTTGCCAAAACAAATCCTCCTATTAAACTCTACTGTAAAAACAAGGCAGCTATTAATATCTCTCACAATCTTGTACAACATGACAAGACCAAGCAACACAGGTGGACAGATATTTCACCAAAGAAAAGATTGAAGCAAGCGTTGTATGCCTCAATTATGTGCCAACAACAAATATCTTCAGAAAGGGGCTTCTGATTAGGCGGGCAAGTTGGACATGCTAAACATATATGATCCAACTTGAGAGGGAGTGTGGGATAATCAAAATTATTAGAATATAATAGAATTGACTGTATAGGGTTGCACATATGAGGCTCTTTATTATTTTTTATTTTCCCCAATTTTATATACCCCTAGTATTATGTTTTTTTCCTTTCTATCATGGGGGCTGCTCTATATATATTGTCATATTGTGAGATCAATAAAAATCATCTTCAATGCAAAGACACGCAAGAAATAAGCCACTTAATCAGTGACCTTCCAGTCTCAATTTATATGCATTACAGAAACTATCCTAGAACCCTAAAATAAGAGCTCCAGAGGAAAATAAAGAAGACAATATTTTGTAGTAGTATATGGTATGAGCTCAACTTCAATGATGCTACCATAGGGGCACTGGCAGTCAGTTCATGTCTACGTAAACTGTCTTTTCACCCCCAAAGCCATTCATATCAACAACAGAAGCTGAATGCAGCACAAAGTCATATATTTGAGATCTAAGATTGTATGATGTGTTCAATCATCCAAATGATGCCAAAAGATCATACAAGTGTCAAACAAGCAAGTCTGTACACATGACTACGGTATTTGATAGGTGATGCATCTGTTAAGAGGCTTATAATCAACCTTGTGGCATAGAAGTAGGTACTGTCCCAGTAACTGGTGCAACAGGGCCTGCATCCACTTTGACAGGACTCTGATTTGAAGGTACAGTTGTGATCCCAGAAGGGCTCAAAGCAGAACGGGCTTCCCTGAAACCTTCAGATATTAAAATAAGAAAATGGGAGTTCTTTGTATCAACAGGTGGATCAGCTGTGCGGCTGTTTCGCTTTCCCTACATTGCCAAAGGGATGTAGTCAACTTCATGAAGAGCTCAAACGCTAATTTCATTTGTATGCTGAATTTGAAAATAAACATTAAAAAAGGGGGGAAATAGCAAATAGTTCACTAAATATGCTCTACTTCTGCTTTACAAGATATCAGCATCGACTTAACTAAGTTATCAGATCATGTTTGTTGTATGAGTAGTTTATCTTAGACAAAGTATCTGATATCTCATCCTTTGAAAATAAAATAAATAATTCTTTTCTGAAAAGAGTTGCAATCCATCCTTACCGCATTGTAAATGGCTTTAACTTTGGGGAGCTGCTTTGGACAGATAACAGATAGAGAAACAGAACACTGCATGCAAAAGATTACATTCCAAATATAAGAGAACAATGAGAGCAAGGAAACCAAGTTCCACCCCACCCCCCTTTTTTAAGAAAAAGGGAACACCTGAGGAAATGCTTTAGCAACAGCTTCGGCATCATGTACATGATTCCCTGCATCTGATTCTATGGTTTCACCTTGATCTAAATTCTGTGGTCGTGGTACATAAACTGGTGTCGGCAAAGAATATGGATTGCTTGCTGCAACAAGAATGCAGTGCTTTTGCAAGTCCACATTCTGTTGATTCTGGCTTCCATTTTTAGAAGTGGGGAACATCTGAGAAATTGAACATTTTGGCATGAATAAGATTCCAGGTTTTCAAAAAGAACCACTTGACAATTTTAGATAACGCATTTCAATATTTTAATTATTATAGAAGGACTTGTGTACGAGACTACAAAACAGGTCATCCAAAACAGGTGCACGTTGTTACTTACATGAATAGCAAAACAAAAGAGCTGCATAAATCAAATACATAATAGGACTAGTTTTAGCACAAATTCCAACACGAAGTAGCATCAAAATACAGTAGCAATAGAAAAACAGACATTATTGACTATCTAATATTTAGGTTACTAAGCAACGATTTCATCAGTGATTTGAGATTCGGCAGATGATAAGGAATGAGATATTTCCTAGTCTTTTGCTTGACCGACAAGGAAGAGAGGTCCTAAATAATCACTAAGGAAGATGAAACACCACAGTAGAGTTCAAGCTCTAATCTTCTATTTTCTCTTGCGCTTTTTTTTTTTTTTTTTGGGTAGAGGGGGTCCTGTGATTGGAGCATATGCAAAAATGCTGGCATGCAACCACTACAGAGCAGCTCTTCAACTTAATCAAAGAAAAACTTGATAATTTCAGAACAAATTTCTCTAGCCCAACTGAATCCAATCCATTTTATTTCCATGTTCAGTCAATCAAGGTTAACCACCGATTTTGGGCTTGGAAAAGGAGCCCAAGAAGGAAACTGGGTTGGTTTACAGGCCCCATCCAACCCATACACACCCCCACATTAAACAATATATTTTGCTCAGTCCCTTTCTTTTCTCCTGAACTTCTGCTCTCCCCATAGTTCTCATCACCATAACATTTGCTGCCAATCAGCAAGCTTTTGAATCTGGCCTTGTACAAGATCCCCTAAACGTCAATACATTTCTCTTTTACATTAGAATATTCCATTCAAAGTAAGCAAGTTCGGGGTGCTGGCATTAAGAAATGGGAGAGTCTGTCAAATGAAACTTGAAAGGAGAACGTGATTCAACGAAGAAAGAAAGTGGAAACTAAACATATATACCATGAGAGCTTCAGAGAGCCCTTCTGCCATTGCGACATCATCAAAACCACCACCAACAAAGGGTAGACCTGAAAGCCATTGGAAGAATGTATCAAGGTCCCTTGTCCAGCCACTCCGTTGCGAAAGGCAAGCTGCATTCAGAGATGCCCAATTAAGTAAAGATACTCCATATATTAGCCAATTGCATACATATTTTCTGGTGTGAGAGAGCAGAATTCAGACTTAAAACGCAACAAACAATTGTTGATATATTCTATGCTTAAAATTATACTCAATTCATCCAAAGAAATCACACTCGTCAGTTAAAGTGCATAGGACAGGTCACACAAGAATACTTAAAGAGAAATAGCAAGTGATAGAATAATATATGTTTACATGCACTTAAAAGAATAGACTCACAATCATGGATCAACTTCATCTGAAGTTCTAATAATTCAGTAGTAATGCAGTCTAAACAAGAGAAGATTTTAATAACACCATTTAAAGATTGTGCAAAAATGTACCAGAATAACATCCACGAGTACTAAAGGTGACTAATGCAAACTCAACATTGGAAGTCGAAGGCTTCTGCATTAAAAGGAGTAGGAGAAATTAATAGACAAGCAAACAAAAGACAATTATTTGTCAAGCTAGAAAAAATATCACGTCTACTAAGATATAAAAAGCTAGAAACTAATGTACTCCACATATTATTGAGGGCCTAGGCTTTTTCCACACTACACATGCTAATAGCATTTATGGGACTTCACCTAATAGCTTAAACCTTCAAGATCGATTAATGCTCCTGTATAGCAATCAGAGAAAATTTTCCTTAATATTTCTTTCTTTCTTTTTACAAAAGAAAATCAGTATGAGGTAGAAGAGAAGAAATAGCATTAGCAGCCAGAAGATTTCTGGAAAAACATAAGAGAGAGGAGGCACAAAGAGACTCAACTGCATATAAAGCTGTTCAGCCTCTGCATTTCAAAAATTACAATTCATTTGAAACAAAAAGACTCGTTGACAGAGAAGTAAAATGAGGCTGTAAACAAAACTTCATCCCACAGTAGTAGTAAGATCAAGAAGATAAACTTGAAGATATGAGCAGTCCTTGCCTATAATAGTAGTAATTTCAACAGTATCACATTAAAACCTTGCAAGCTTCCAACGCCTAATAAATCCTTTGGATTACTTGCACAACTTTCCTCTATCCAAGTAATTGAATCACAGTAAGCCAACAATGACTTCAATATAGAGTTTAGTACTTGTAAATTTCAATAGACAGCACAAAATAAGACCACATAAAAATATTGAGGTAGTTGATTAGTTGAAACTATCCAATGGATTGCCAAGACCAAATCATGCATGTCTCCAATGCATCAATGACCAGTATTGAAGCCTTATTCATTTATAAGAGCTTTAGACCAAGCCAAAATAACAATTATACTATTGGCAACAACAGACAGCTCATAAAAAGTGAGCAAAGTCACACTGGACAATAATATCTTCCTTTTATCTTTCCCCTTGATGGTATTATTTTCATTTGAGTGAAAATCAGGCATACCTGGCCAGCTGAGTCATTTCCACCAAAAGACCTGTATGAATAACATAAGATGTTAAAAATGCTGTGTTATGCTATACTGACAAAACCGTAAAGCAAGGTAATTCTGAAGACTCAATTTATTTATTTAAACTAAAACAGGAACGACTTCACATATGAGGACTGTTATAATTTACAGCACACGAAAAAGGAATCTCCTGAAAATCATCACCCAGCACTAGATAAAATAACTGGAGGTGGTGAAGGGTGAAAATACCAAGTATGTTCAATATTTTACTGGTAATGGTCTGTTCCCAAAGAACATGCTTTTACACAATAGTCTCCCCAGTTTGCAGAGCTTCTTTTGCCTATTAAATATTGATAAACTACAATAACAAGTACTGATGATTTTAACATGACACGTTATATAGTCTATAAGCAATATTGTTAGCATGTAATAAGGATGCCCATTTAAGCTTTTACAATGTGTTTCCGAGATTCTACTCATTTTAGATAAAAATTTTAACACATTATACAACAGTTATAAGTGAGTGATGGCTCAAGTATATGCAAACAAAAAGATGAGATCTCTTATCTTATTAAGTGTTGAACTGTGAAACCACCTCTATGTCATTATACCATTTAGACATGATTAATAAATTTAGAACAAAGCAAAAGAAGCTTATTTTTGTTATAATATCTTGGCAGATTTTACATTTACATTCACTTAAATCATTATTAATTAATAGCAAATAACATGTGTAGGCTCATGCAGCATTACAATGTAGCTCATATTACATAAACAACAAAAATTTAATGATAAAAAAACTAGTATGTTAAAAACTAAACTCTCATCAGACGTCACATTTAAAGCATGACTCATACCAACAACATAATCATTCAAAATCTAACTAATTAACCATAAAACTCAACATCAGACCTGTGAGTGATAAACATGTCTGTCTCTGCCAAAAATTGATACAATGGGAAAGAAATATCGGGAGTGCAGGAGTATCAAAAAATAAATTTTTGTGTACAGAGAGTTTATGGTGATTTGGATATTTAACTAATTAGCATTAGTTTGGGTTTACAAGAGTGGGATTAACATTAAGTTAGGATTTCTCTTCTATCATTTGGGGTTTGCCAGTTAAAGGATTCCTACAAATTTGGATTTGTCAGGCATGAAGTCAGAACTGAGAATGTGTTTAATTGTTTCCCCACTTCTGTCCTTCCTCCCTTTCTCTCACCCCATAATCTCTCTCTTTCCTTCACTTTCTATTTGTCCAACATCAATTGTCCCATGGTGTAGGGGCATAAAGAGTAGGACAAAGCATTGAATCCATTCCTAGCAATTTTAATTCTTGAATGAAGAGAAATTAAGAAAAATAAAAGTAGCCCAAAAGTAATGGGCAAATGATTTAACGTGGCTAGAATAAAGTCTAGGATTCAGTTCACAAGGATCTTGCCATTCTTCTTCTTCTTCTTTTGTTGTTTTTTTTTTTTTTTGGGGGGGGGGGGGATCATATATTTAAATTTACCTCCCATGCCCATGTAAACCAGAAATATATAGGCAACGAATGATCCTGCCTTTAAAATAAGTGTTAGAAGCTAGAAGTTAGGACCCAGCATCCAAATACTATGAGAAATTCAAACCAGGTAACTGTTGGTTCTTTCCCCTTAATGATATCTTTGGGGCGATCCCCCCAAGGTTTGATTCAGAAGCCAAGAAAATGTGTCAAACGTCCACGGTATTAAACCGTGATTTCATCCACCTTCAACAGAAATTTTACAGTTGAGACGGCAAAAGTTTTGCAACTTGGATTAAAATGACTAAATCCCAAGTCCACTAAGTGATGGTTTGCCAATATCTATTTGATCAGATCCATAAGAAATAGTTAATAACGGAAGATCAATTCTCAGAGTGTCACTTTTAAGACCAGTTCCTGAATTTATCAACTGATTGCATTAAAGCCATTTGCTCCATAAGAAGGGTATCTACAGTCAACTCAGAAATGAAAGACAAGAAATACAACATCTAAACCAACGAAAACAACCGGGTTTATAAGATTAGCATTACGTCTTCAAGTTCTCAGAATTTGAAAGGAAAAAGTGAAGGGGGATGGGTGTTTTGCCAATTCTCTATAAATGACAGTAATTATCGAGAGATAAGACTCCTTCCATCACTAACAACATGCCAGAAGCTGAAATTTGAAAATTCAGGTCAATGAAATAAACTTGAATAGGGGTTGAAGCAAACTGCATTTTTACACACCAAAATCAGAGCTCCAAACGCCAGAACTCAAGGGGAGTAAGAAAAAATCCCCAAGTTTGACTCAATATAAAAACACAGATACCAAAAAAGAACGCAACCTTATTATCTTATCAAGGTAATCCGCAAGAATGGTTTGCCAATACGGTCCCATAGCAGCGGTGCTTTCGACTACGACAATCAGCTGTTTCTCCGCCATGATCGATTCTGAGTCTTGGAGACACGCAGTAAAGTGAAGTGCGTCTAAGCCAAACGATCACTCTGATTAGCCGTAGCTTATTCTCTCTGGAAAAACAAGAAACAGTGAGCATGAATATGACACATATGGCCGATCCACTGTGCCGAAGGCGTAGCAGAAATGGAAAGAGATGAATTGCATTAAAAAAGTATCGCTTTTTTGGATTAGAATTTCAGAGGGAAAAATCCATACCCGGCAATGGCCAGCGAGCGACCCCGCGCTCTGAACGGAAAGGTTGGTGGTTATAACAAATCGGCGAACTCCCAACAAGGCTTGCTTCTTGGTTTAGAAGCGCGCAGAGAAAAGTGTAACGACCTGGCCGGGAGCTGGGCTGGGAAAACTGCGTCAGGTGACTAGAATAACACACGCGCACACACACGCACAGGCCAAAAAAAGCTGCGTACATAAATATAAATCAAGAAAAGGAAGAAAAAGATTTAATTATCTTAAAATTTATTAATAAGTAAAAAGTAAGTAAAAACTGATAGTAAGTTTAAATTGATTACTTGTTATTAGAATTTTTTCATAATTAAATTTTTTAAGACCTCTTGAAAATTCTCCTATCAAGAAAAGCGTAGTACAAACTACAAATTCAAGAAACGGAGAAATGGTTTTTGTTTCCTTCTTGATTTACGGAAGAAACGGAACTTCAAACAAAAAAAATGAAGCAAAATAAACGGATAACGGATCATATGCCATCATCTTTCTTTATATTATAAGTCCACCTATTGTCATTATTATATATAATAATTAAATAATTAACTAAGTTAGTTATTCATTAATTTTTTTCTAATCATGTGTATTATAATTAATTTTTTATAAAAATTAAAAATCTGTACAATTAATAAAAATACTTTAAATAAAAATTATAAATTTAAAAAATAAATTATATTAAAATTTTATATTTAGAATCAAAATATTTAATATCGGAGCTCTTAGTACTTGGAGAAAAAATTTATTTATTCAAAAGATACTTAAAAAATAAAATTATTAATCTCTGTATAGATATAAATTATCTGATTCAAATATTATAGATGGTATTTCTTTTTTTGGACAAAAAATATTATAGGTGGTATTACCAATTTATAATCAACCGAGTATGCGATGTTCGGGGAGGGCAAGGGGGCAGGAATATGAAATAGAGTAATTTAAATAAATAATGATATTTCATTAATACTATATAAAATCTAAATTTGATTTTTTTATTAAATGAACTTAACTTCAAAATTGAATTTACCAATCTTTTTAGCATTCGCAAAATAATATAAACTAATTCATAACAGAAAATAGTATTCAATTAACCTTGAGATTTAATTATTGCCTCCATCATCGGAAGGCAATGTCTCATTCTGCAATAGGCCTTGGCTTTTATTCCTCCTCTTCATCTCCGGCGACGTCGTACGCCACTTCGCCGGTGATCATAGCTTTCACGCTCGGCGTCCTCATATGTTTCATCATAGGTTTCTGCTTCATCTACTTGTGTCGATGTTGCTTCGTGAGTCTCCTCTATTCCTGGGCATTGCATCGTCCCACCGCCGAAAACTTCGTCCACCAGATTCATTCCCCCACCGGCGCAGCGTCTCCGATCCGAGGCCTCGACCCGGCGCTTCTTCAAATCTTCCCAACCTTCCCATACGCCTCCGTGAAGGAGATCCAAGGGAAGAATAACAAAAGCTATAGCCTAGAATGCGCCATTTGCTTGTTAGAATTCGAGGAGGATAGCTTCCTTCGCCTCTTGACCGTTTGCTGCCATGTCTTTCACCAAGAATGTATCGATCTCTGGCTCGAATCTCACAAGACATGCCCTGTTTGTCGCATAGATCTCGATTCTTCGTCAAAGGAAAAACGCCCGGAAAACCAGACAAGAATAGAGCCCTTAACAGAGAATAATCACAACAACAACGAGACCCGTATTGATGTAAGGGAAGAAGAAGAAGAAGTTTCGAGGAGAAGAGAAGAAGAGGAGGAAGAAGAAGAAGAAGTTGTTTCTGATGAGAAGAGGTTTTCAAGGTCACACTCAACGGGTCATTCCATTATTGTGATAAGAGACGAAGAAGGAAGTAGTAATAATTATGAGAAGGAGAATGAAGATAAATATACATTGAAACTACCAGAGCATGTTCAGATTAAACTGATAAGAGGACATAACTACGCAAAGAGTTGTGCATCTTACAGTGAAATGGCCAGACTTTGTAGTAAATGTTGCTATGCTGAAGCCATATCAGGCTGCACTACTACTTCCTGCGAGCCTTTAAGGGTTTGAATGTTCATTCTGCAAATCCAATGCTAATCAACATGATCAGCTAGTTAGGGCACAGAGCTAGATGGCATATTATGCAGAAAGTAATCCTTATTTAACGGTCACTGATAAACCCGCCATGCATATGCACCTTCATGTTTCGCAATGGGTATCAGGCAAGGGACACGACTTTACAAAGAAAAATCGTAGAGGTATATATATGCTTACCCAAAAAGAGAGAGAAAAAAAAAAAGAAAGCAAGAATGAGTAGCGACAGATTTTGGTTTTTCAGAGGGAAAAACAAAGATAGATGATCAAGTTGGATATATTGTAAGGATTTATATATCCAGGTTAGAGCAGGTATTAAGACACAATAGGTGTTTATAAAAAAAAAATTCATAGATTAGATTCAAACCCACATTTTTATGAAATATGATGGGTGAAGTATTATTTGATCCAATCCTTTAGGTCATCAATAGTTTACTCAAAATTTAATTATTGATAGAACACAGTAGAATGACATGTCGCGTGTAATTTATATGGTCAAATCTACCCCGGAGATAAAGGTTTGTTGTTGTTGTATCAAGTGTGAAACCACTAATTCTTTGTACAGATCGACACCAAGATATATCCTTAGAAAGCATTGAGGTATTGATGTACTACTACTAACATAAGCTTATGGCAATACAAGGATTTGAGCATCCAAAGTGGTGACTGAGAAGATCTGATGGAGTTCTTTTTCTGTTAAGGGAGCCAGCATGCTTGCATGTATTGGTGGTTGGCTTAATGATATCTTCTTTGTTTTCAATTTTATTTAATTCCTAGCAATTGTTCACATCTCTAGTTTTATTATTGTTTTAGGATTTCATGAATAATTATTGCTCAAGTAGAACAATGATTTAGGCTTGGATTCGAACTTCGAAGGCTGGCAATTCTTGATGCAGACTAGGTGTTTCTTTTGTTTTTTGTTTTTTTCCGGTTGTGTAATAAAAAACAAGAATAACAGTTAGTACAGATGTTTCCCGGCCCGCATTGTAGCTGTAATCTTTTGGAGATTTTACTTATGAGCCTTAATAGAAGGTTCACTGAATTGGAGGAGATTATGGCAAATTGATGTCCAAACATTGATTTTTATATACCTTGACTAAAAAACATTGAATTTTATATACACGGTGCCTTTTAATAACTTTTATATTTATTAAATAATCTTTATTTTAACTTTTTAGGGTAATCAAGGGAACATCAACTCTTGATTTTATTTTTAATTAACAAAACCAATGAACTTTATCAATTTTTTTAGTAGAAATTTTGTTAATTTTCAAAAAAATTACACTCAATAGTTGTCAATTGATACTGGAAGAAAGAAATTAAAACCTACAAAGCTATATCAGCAGAAAAACAAATCCGTGTTTAAATTTTTATCTGTAGCTCCCCTTTAATTCTTTAAAGAGGGGGAAAAACAATTAATTTTAATTTTTATTAAAAGGCTTCTCAACTAATTCTTACATATCAAACTGTTAAAGCATTAAATCTGTTATAAATTAATTTTTTTCAAGTCTACCTCCAACTTAAACGATGTGGTTTAAAAAACACAAAGTTCATTGAGCTTGTTAACACTAAACTTCAATTGATAATAATGAAAAAATTGGAAGGTAACCATTAATGAGTTAGTGCCTGTTTGGATTAGTAGTAAAGATTTTAGATAATCGTGAATTTTAAAAGTGACACTGGTTAATCGTGATTTTGTTTGGATTTTTTTTATTAGTGATTTTAAGAATTGTGATTACGTTTGGTTTTCGTTTATTAAAATCACTTATGGATGTATAATTACTAAAAAGGGTATGAAGTTAATAAAGTTGTTTACATTTTCATAATTATTATATTTAATAATAAATTTTATTAAATATAATTTAATAAATGACACAAATATTTAAATATTATTTTTATTTTAAAATTATTATTATTTAAAATAACTTACAAATAAAGAAGAAACATACCTTTTGATTGCTTGATTGATCCAAAAAGACAAGACGATGGCCTCTTAAAAAAATTTGAAATGGTTTGAGTTGAAAAATTGAAGGCAAAATATGTAGAGATAATATTTGAGGAGAGATTTTTGAAAGAGTGTGGGAGGGTAGATTGGAGAAAATTTAGTTGCTGAAAATTAATTGGAATTTTTCAAACACCAAAGCTACTCCTTGTTACTTATTCCAAAAGTGCAGTAGAAGGATAAAATTACGATTTATCGGGATTTTATAAAAATTACCTAAACAAGACAAACATACTTCATAATCATTTATTTGGATTTAAATGGGTTTATTTGAAATCCCACCACTTAACCAAACAAGCTCTTAGTCAATCACTTATGCTTAAGACTAAATTGTTTTTATAAGATTACCTTAGAGTAAGTATAAAAGCAATTGAGAGAGTACTAAGAAAGCATTGAATTCAATGGATGGCACATTAAATCTAATTAAGCACGAGTTGCCTATCTTATCCTATGAGAAGGCATCTTGTAAGATTTTATCATAATAGAAATTTAACATTTTAAAAAGCCATTAGATATTAAAAGCATTATTTCGTTTTTTACGCTATTTCTTTTTCATTCTCATTACCTAAAGAAGTTCATTCTAATTATTTTTATAATTTAAAATAGATTTTTCTTAGCTTCACCTTATTTAATTTTTAACACCAATATACTATTTTGTCTTTTATTTATTATAATATAAATAATTATTTTTTAAAATAGTGTACTTTCCTTATTCTATTTATAAAGTATTTTTAGCATGTTTCACCAAACTAAAAAAATTTTAACTGTATTAACTCTCTGTTAAAATATAATAACTTTTTAATTTTATTCCTATTTAATATATGCACTTTTAAAAAAAAAACTGTCTACACTATAACAGATAGGTGGCAAAAATTCATGCTAAAAATTTAATGAAGCAACTTATAAACATGACAAAATTTTTTTTTTCTGTCTTATAAATAGAACCAGATGAATATATATTAAATATAAGTAAAGTTGAAAAACTGCTATATTTTAAGAAAAAAGTTCATACAATTTAAAGTTTTTATTAGTCAATAAAATATCTTATAAACAAGATCAGGCGAGTATATAATGTTTTTACCAATTATTCATCAAGACATTCATCTCTCATTCCCTCAAGAATATTTATAAATTCCCCTATTTCCGTGTGTATTAAAAAAGGCAATAATCACCTAGAAACTTTAATCTTTGAAAAATTTAATTAGCCCGAAAGGATGCTGAAGAGGCTGTGGAATAAAAGTTTATAGCGATTAGCATAATTTGTCCCTTAATTATATTTCAAAATTAAAAATGAATCACCCCACCCGCAGATGAAAGGGTATATCGTATGTGTCCTGTTCCATGCATTTACTAACATGCTTGCACGAGAGGACTAAAAATTAATTTAACTATTCTTGACCACCACAATTGCCTTTTTTTTTTTTTTTTTTTCTGGGGGGTCAAATGAACCACAATTGCTATGAAATAGCCTTTATTTATTTTTTGATCGATCTAAGTCAAAGCCATAAAATATTTGAACTTATTAATGAGATGGGAATAATTTATTTATTATTAGAAAAATTAGAGGCAAATCCTATTTGAAAATTTTATTAATGAAAATGACTTATATTTTATGCATAGAAAGTATCGGTACTGCAAATTTTATACACCCATTCACAAATTATCTATTATAATTTTGTCATTCTCATCAATAAATTCTTTAATAGGAGACCTTTTCTTAATTTTTTTTCTTTATTTATTTTAAGAGTTAGGAGATAGGGGAGAAATAAGGACGCACTGTAAAATATTACAATTTATTTTTAGTTATTAAATATTATAATTGTGTTCATCTTTGTGATAGTATTTGAATTTTCTTAATTTTACAATTTAAAAACTATATAAATTTCATTTGTAATTTTACTGTATTTTTAAAACCATTTGGTTATCTAATTTATTTTTAATTTTTGTGTCGAATTTATTTGAAAATTAAAATTGTAAACTTGGTTAAAAATAAAATAAGATTCAAATTGTTCAAATACTATATAAGCAATTTTGGTTCTTCCCATGATCCGAATTTAGTTATCATCTTGGGAGATCAACAGTAACTTTAAGATAATTTTAATTTTTAATAAAGTAGTTAAATCATTTTATTCAAATTCAAATTTAAATTTAAAATTAAATAATCCTAAAAAGACGAATATCAAATCACCTTACCGTGTGAAGGAACCAGTCAGATGACCAAAACACGTGTGGGGCCCACACGTGTGGGGCCCACACGTGTGGGGCCCACACGTGTGGCCTCGACGATGTTGTCCCGCGCCTCCTGGTAACCTTGTTGGCGAAGGAAACGCAAGGAAAAAGAAGGCTTATCGAAATTCCTTAAAAATTATTTATCTCAGAAAATAACGATGACAATGATAGCGATTGCGCAAGTCCAGAACCAGAATCCGCATTGTACACGGAGGCCACAAGGGTCCCATATCCCCAATGATTTCTACACACTCTTCTGCTATATTCACGCGATCAATCCAAAGCCTGATATTTCAGTAGGACTCGGACCAGAGTTTCGAATCTCATAGAATTTGCGGTCTGAAAATTATTTATGTAGCGAGTTGTGAATTGGGAATTTGAGGGCCTTTACGAATTTGGATGTTCTTAGTATTCCCGAGAGCAAACTGAATTCAAGTGCTTTGGCCTTTGGGATTCTTTTCCGTTACCTTTTCTTGACAGATTGGGTATTGTTGGTGCGAGGAACTGAACGTGTTAAAGATGATGCTGCATTTTGGACAGCCGGCTAAGCTGAAGACTAAGAAGGTACGACTTGGGGTTTTGACTGTTTTCGTCTGTTGTTAAATTTTCACATGCATCTAGTAATTTTTGTCTTTTTCTTTGGCCAAAAGGAAAAGCATAGTCTTTTCTAGGCACTATCGTGTTATTGTTAAAGAGGAAAACAATTCACACTTTCAAGCTTTCATAGCTTCGGTCTTTACTTGCCAGTGTCTTTTAGTGGGATTGACTATAATAATCTATGTATATCCAAAAAATACAAGGAAAAAGAAGTATCAGAATATGCATGGTCTCACAGAGTGCACCTGTAGTAATAGAATGAGTTTATGATACATTATAGTTTCCCTTTTTTGCTTTGGTTTTTCAAATTCGAAGCTTTGTTTGTCTTCTAGTTTTTTTTTTTTTTCCCCCGGAGAAGAAAGAATAGAAAGTAAGAAAAGAGTTACAAAATAGGGGACAAGATATCCTCCAATGAAAATCCCAAAACAGAGGAGCACGGTGAATTAAGAGAACATCAAATCAAATCTGTTAAAGGAAAAAAAAAAAAAAAAAAAGGGTAGCAGAACGCCAAACTGAAGACATGAACACTATCCTTTAATTCCTTTCCTATAACATTTCCAAACTTACGGAAAGCTCAAAGAAGATTCGAAAGTTTCTTCCTGACTAAATGCACCTTGATATTGGGAAACTTGCACATTACCGCAGTACTAAACATTAGTACTGTTTTCCCTCGTAAACCTGTAAACCTTGCAGTAAGAAAGCCTTCCAAAGGTCAAGGACACAACCTATGTTCTCCATATACACCAAACTGTTTATTCTGCAAAACGGCAGCTGCTGGAATTTGAAAAGGATGTGGAAATGTTTCTGAACTATTCATTAGAATAATGCGTATATCAGGAAAATAGCTGTTTTGGGCTTTAGAACCTGTAATAATCATTATTATTATACTATAATCCTATAGGGAGCTGCAACCCTGACAAACGACTGTCTTGAAAGAAGTTTTAGATTTTTTATTTTATTTTTTTTGGGTTTGCTAAGGAAATAAGCTTTAGATTAAACTCCCAATTTTAAAGAATAATTGACAACTTGATATGCTTAAAAATTAATTATACTCTCTTTCGTCATATTTTGACTTCTGTTAACCTAAACAACTATTGCTGATGAAAAGACTGACCTATTACTGAAGTTACAAATATACGGCACTGTTTTTAGTGCTTGGTATTGAAGGTTTGAAGTGTTTACTTGCAGTAGTTCTATAGTGTGTGTTCGGTTGCTATGGAAGTGATTTGTTGTTTACCTATCAATATGCACAATCTTTCTCTGTAATATAACTGGCATCTTCATGATAATTTCTGGCACAATGGCATTCACTGCAGATTTTTCATGTTGACAGATTGTGTTTGAGGATGTATATGCTGCATGTGATTCTGCCACACTTGAGCAACTTAAGGAGTTAAGCTCAAGACGAAGAGCAATTGAAGAGTCTATTAATGAGAGCAGCCATATTACAGAAGCTATAGCAAGGGAAATGTCTGGAGGGTTGGTATCTCGTCTTGAACAGGTAACTTCATGTTCTTTCTGTAAGGAATCTTGTGCTTAGCACAGTTCAAAAATGCCTATAATCTTGAATCCTTGATTTCAATTTATTTTTAGTTGATCATACTTGCAAATTACACTCCCCTCAAGATGAAATCTTACACAAACAATTATGGTGAATAGTTCTGTAAATTTTTTTATTGTTTTGTGGTACGAATGCCTTTAAATATAATTATTTATGAATAATAACTTAAGGAAGGACCTTATGGAATTGGAACTTCTGTATCTGTATGTCTTTCTGGCAATGGCACAGTATGAGATCGTTTACCTGATCAGAAATGTGAGACTTCTGACAAAATTGGAATGACTAGTATCTGCCAAAATTTTGAATTTCGAAGGATATTGATGGATTTTCCCCATTCTGTGTGAATGCCATTTATTCATTTTATTTTGTTCTGTTTCAGGATCTTCACAGAGTAACACAGTATCTCCCATTATTGGAAAATCTAGTTTTACATAATGAACAAATCAGCAATTACAAAACGTATCAATGGGATGCCTCTCTTAAGATACGGTGGAGTAGTGCTCTAAGCCCATCTTACTTCTTTAGGAGTACAGAGTTTTTCCAGATTGACCATTTGCAATTCGAGCTTGGTATGATCCTTTTTCTCTATGGTGCAATCCTAAGGGAGAGGGCTTTAGAAGTTCTATCAACAGGTATGCATTAAGATTCTATTCTCCATGATGACCTTACTTGTTCCATTGATTACATTTATTTATACTGTGCTTGTTTTGTTATAGATTTGGTTCAATCTGCCACCACATTTAGAGAAGCTGCTGGCATTTATCATCACCTGGCACTTAATGTTCTTCCCTGCTTAAAGGCTGCTGGGGCATCAGAAGTTCCACCAGAAGCTCGTACTTCTGTCTCCACTGCTATGAGCCTCATTTGTTTGGCTGAAGCACAGGTTGGTGTCATTGCTGCTACTTTTTGTTATTTCTACATTATAAATTGCTCAGTCATATCCTGAAACTTGCTTAGTTATATTATTTCTACAGTATTTTGTGTTAATTTTCCCATTTGATGAAGGTGGAAAATTTTTACTTGTAATATCTGATAACGTGATAGATATCTAATATAGGCAGTAACAACAAGGAAGGCTGAAGGGAACGGTAATTCTTCAAGTCTTTTAGCAAAGTTGCATCATGGCGTTACAGAGTTTCTTGCAGAAGCAAGTGGAGTTTTAGAGACTTCCGTCAGAGATGGCAAAGACATTGCACCAAACTTAATGGTATTGTTACATATTTTCTCTGTTAGAATTTACCTCTCTTTTTCCGTATTGGTACAAATCTGTGTCGCTATCTCAATTTACTTCACTGCATATATTTTACTTGCGCTAAAACTGAAGTTTTAGTCCTTATCCTAATGAGCTTGCTCAATTGGTAAGGGCTGATGGACCCATGTGTGTAATTCTTCCAGAGAGCACCCTGTATGCCCTAGTCTTTCAAACTACGTCACTCTTATATATAATAACATCACATTTATTTTTTCATTTTCTTGAATTTTAATTAAGGAGAGGCCACTGAAGGAAACATAAATTTTTTTCATTCATGTTATGTTCATGATAATATTTTGTTCTCTTTTCTCACTGGTAGGCTTTCTCTTACGCAGGAATTTATCCAATGCTGCAAAGCCCTACATACGTTGAGAGGTCAGAGATACCATGCAGAAAGTCTGAAGGCTTCTGGTCAAATAGGGGCTGCGATCGGGGTTCTTCAATCTGAATTGAGCAAGATCAAAAAGAAAATACGAGTTGAAGCAAAATGGAAATCTGTGATTGAGGAGGAAATTCTTGATGCTTCTGAGATCCTCCAAAAATTTGTACGCGAGAACGATTTTGTCTGGCATGAGAAAATCCCCTCAGAAAATGAGTTACCACTGCCCCACGGTAACAAAATTGTCAATTTGATACCTTATAGTCCCAAAAGATGGGAGAGACACCTTTCTTTTAAGGTGATGAAGTAGAGGAAAGTTATACAAGTTATAGCTTTGTCTGTCTTTGCCAAACACGTCTCATCAATAATATGATGTTTCGTACAATGTTTTCTCATAAATTTGGTGGGTTAAAAGTTTTGACTGGATAAAGAAAATTTGTGTAAATTACAACATGCGATTACCTCCTTGATTTTAGAAGGGGAAAGTTCCCTATAGTCCTTGCAATATATACGTATACTTTTTGACTGGCCATCCGCAACAAACACACATTATTGGAAATAAACATAAGACTACTGGAAATCAACTTTCAAATGTCCTTCAAAGTCAAACTTGCGTTTTTCTCTCTCGGTACATAAGAAGGCACAGTCCTACCACATGAGACTAATGACGGGAATTCAATACCATACAATATTCGTCAGCAAGAGTTCTAATTTCTTTGTTTGGTCAGAACAAGTTCTTATCTGAGAAGGACAATCATGTACAAGGGAAGAATTTGTTAATCCCATCTTCGCAAGAGAGCCAGTAACTCACCTCTTTTGACAAAACAAGTTAGCGTGTGATGCTTGTTTTGACTCGTTTTATTGGTCTTTGAATAAAAATTGACTTGTAATGCCAAAAAAAGGAGAAAGAAAACCAAACCTGTTTGCGGTGAGGTAGTTGATGATAGGTGTATGAGTTTTCAAAACCTTTTTTGGTTCTATTGTGAAATATGCTTTTTTTTTTTTAAAAAAAAACTCATGCGCTCTATTTTTCTTTTCAATAAATGTATGAGAATTTAACATACAATTTAAAAGAAGTTACTATTAAAACTATTTAAAATTTCAATTTTTTTAAAAGAATTCATAATGTATAACAATTTTTGGGTAAATCTTTTAAAAAACAATCATGGCAAAAAAATATTAAAAAATCAATGCAAAAGAAGTTTGAACACCAAAAAGATAAAAATATTTAATATTTTTCCAATATATACCTATTAATATTAAATATGTAAAATGACTTGTTATATAAATGTTACTTATCCATTAATTGATATGTAAGAATTAGATAATTTTGTTATATAAATAAAGCGAAAGGGAGTAGGACACCCATTTTTTTCCCCTTGTAATCATCAAAAAGGGCTAATCCGAAGTTAACGGAAACAATCAAGAACATTAGTCCAGACAATCTTTTGTTTTTTTGGGAAAAATTATCAATGAGCTCTAAGTAAGAAACTTTAATTCCATTTAATACTAATATATCTTAGGGAAAATCTTAATTAAATCCTGCTGAAATACTTAAATTTAAATTGAGGCCTACACTTTTAACAAATTCTTAATCAAGACATAAGACCTAATTAGGAATTGCTGAATATTGTTAAATAACTATAATGCCCCTCTTTAGTTAAAAATGAAAATTGATTATTTTATCCCTCTAAAGTGGTTCATCATCTCTTATTATTAATATTTAGACAAAAAAATATAAATAATTTTTTAGTGTTTGAAATTTTGTAATATAACTAAAATCTTCAAAATATTTTCATAAAACATTTCAAATTATAATATAAGTAATCTTTAAATAAATATTTTTTTCAGGTTGTAAATATTTATTTTAAAATTTTAAAATATTTTAATTATAATAAAAATTTAATATTAAATCGTAATCATTTACGTTTTCAGTTGGATCCAACATTGTTTAAATAAATAAAACTAACGTAAATTATAAAAACTGAAAATAAAAAAATTTATTTAAACTTTACTTATATTTATAATTTTACTTATATTTTTAATTTAACATGTTTTATTAAAATATTTTTAATAGTGTAAGTTATATATACAAATTTCAAACATTGTAAAATTACTTATATGTTTTTTGGTCTAAAAAAAATCATAAGAGATGAGGAATTACTTGGGAGAGATATATTAATCAATTTTTTTTTATTGAAGAAGGGCATTTTGGTTATTTAACAACATTTAGAAATCCCTAATTAGGTCTCATGGCCTAATTAAGAATTTGTTAAAAGTACAGGCCTAAATATGAATTTAGGTATTTCGGCTGGATTTAATTGGGATTCTCCCTATATCTTAAGAGATTTAATATTTACAAGTCAATTTATATATATATATAAATATATATATATACACACACACAAGTCAAACCCCATTATTTATAAGCCAGATTTACAGATTAGCATTTATAAGAGAAACTTGTATGTTTACAAGTTGAAATTAATTATATTTGCAAATGTTACGCTTTTTAGGAGGTATTATCTCCTATCTTTAATATAAGAGCTGGTTGTAAATTGAATTTGGTTTTAAATATAATATCTCAATTTACTTTTTTTTTTAATTTGTAACTTATTCTTTAACAATTATTTTTCGTATGAGAGAATTGAAGAGGAAGGGAGGGAAAATTTTTTTTTTAATAAGTTTGATTGATAAAATTGGAGAAATGATATTGCAAAATTTTGATAAACAGAAGACATGAGATAAAAGATTAAGCAAAATTAGTCCCACTCCTCTGTATAGTAATAGTATAAAATGAAATTGGGAAATATATCTATTTTTTTTATTTACAGAAATCTATCTGTATTTAATTTTGTAAAACTTATGGGTATTTTTTTTTTTAACGAAAATCCAAATACTACCACCATATAAGGTTGGTTAGTCCAGACACTTATCGAAGTTGAAGCAGGGAGAGTGGGAGACCTCCGTGTCAGTAGGAGCCAACGCAGAAAAATTCTTACATGAACCCAATCTGCCACGTCATTTGTGGTGTGACCAATCACAACCTAACAACTCAGCTAATTTTAATCCTAGTTGGTTGATGATTCACTTGCTCCTAATCAATTTAATTTTTTTTCCAAACAAATAAATAAACCTCTAAATTCTACAGAAAAAACTCGTCGTCAAGGTTCAACAGAGAAATTGAAGGGGTTGAAGAAGTATGCCCTAGCCCAGCCTTCTGAAATCTTCTTCACCGGCGGGAGTATGCAGCTTTGCCGCCGGTGGGGAGTGAGAGTCCAGAGCATCGCCAGTGAAGATTCGTAGCTTTGCTGTATCTTTGATTTCAGTTTTGCTTCTGGCGTGCGTTCTTCCGATAGCATCTCTCATGTCATGTGTTCTTCATATTTGAATGGCAATTCCAAGTATCACGTCAAGTTTTTCTTTTCCCCTATACATGGATAAATGGACCACCGTGGGATGAGGACATGGTTTATTGTTAGATGGAAGATATTTATGGGCAGTAAGGTCTTGTTCTATATTGACACAGAGTTGGTGGTGTCCATTTAAATAATGCCTTCTTATAGGAAAATGTTGGATGAGAAATTAGTGTTGGATGTATAAGCCATATGTATGATTATGATCTGCTACATATTTTGTGACTGTTTCATCAAATCCATGCTGCTTAGACCCAATGTTTAAGAAATACACAATGTTTACCTAAGAATTCACCCATCCTCCTTATGCTTTAACTTTTAAAGTTTCTTTCATTATACTATAAATTCACCCCCTCCCATTTTATTAGATTTTCTATATTTTTTTTTATTTCACATGTTTTTAACAATATTTAAGGGTAAAAGTGGGTACAATCTATCATAGTTGTAATTTTTTCATAACGAAGAAAATATCTGGTGTGTATTTACTTTAGATAACTGTTCCTTTTTTATGCCCAACTAGATTAGTGTTAATAATATCACAAATAAAAATGGTTTGGGCAAACAAATCATATTTTTTTATTTTGTAAATATTTTCTCACTCCTTCTTTATTTCACAGCCAATTATATCTTAGATGCTATATCGTAGTATATATACTTTATTATGACATAAAATGTTGACAACAAAAAAGATATAAAATATTGTGTGTGTGTGTTTCTGTATATTTATATATTTATAATAAAAAAATATCAGAAAAAAATGATGAATTTGTTGATACATTGTGAGGGTTTGAATCTTTTCAACTTCTATCCATGCTTGATTTCCTCCATCTTACCACCACCATATAAACTAGCTCTAGGTGACCCCAAAAAAAAAATTAAGAATTCCATCAAAAAAGCTTTTTAAGCCAACGGAATTCCTTACAAACCCTAAATCAACGTAACAAAAATTTGATGTGAGAAATTATTCTTCTATCAATATGAGGAAAATGTATCCAAAATAGTATCATCGTATAATACTTTAATACTTTACATGAGAGCCAACTCATTTCATTCGATATATAATAATAGTATTAGATATTACTTTATATTCTTAATATAAGAGCTAGTTAAAAATTAGATTTGGTTCTATATATAAGACTTTATTCTACTTTATCTCCCAAATTTTTATAAGATTATTTATTTCTATTTTCATTTATAGTTGAACATTTTGAGACATATGCTGAAAGAAAAGTATCATTTTAATTGAGTTGAACTTTTTTTTTTTGGGAATAAGAATTTAGTTGAACTTTCACCAAGAGCGGCACGCGCATAACGTATGCAATTTGCGCCTATATAGTTTTCATGGAAGGGGCTTTTAATTCAAAGCTTGAATTGTCAACTCAATTCGTAGACTCGTAACCTCTGATTATCTTCCATTCTACATTTATGTTTTTCTTCAATTTAATCAATTCCACTTTTCAAACTTTGACTTTTACGCACTAACTAGCACTTTGAACAGGTGGGTAAAAAATAATGATTTTGATGATGCTCATAAATCTCTTCGTTTGAAGAAAAACCATATATTGTTTCCTATGTGTGCGTAGGAGCTAGATTTAACTAATTTACTAAAAATTAATGAAATTGGCTAGTTTTATTATTTGTAAAAAAAAGTGTGCACGAATTTTTCTCATAGAGCTTCTTTAATTATTTGCGTTAGAAACTATTACCTATGATCCTTAATATGAGAGCTAAATAACTAAATTGGAGAGATTAAGAAAATCAATTAAGTTAGTTATTTGTAACAAATATGGGTAATTTCCTTAAATTACCCTTATTCAATCATGTACATTGAAACTATACTTGGGTGAAAATATCTTACAATCAACAGGAATATTTTTTTAGAACACATTATAAATTTGGGAGACAAATTAGACTTAAGTATTATATTTAGGATGCTCAACTAGTTTTTATATTTAGGACGAAAAGTAGTATTTCATTAATAAA